GCTCTGTCAGATATCTGAACTAAGGCCACGTGGAGACATTTGCTCAGTCATTCGTGTCCAAAACTTCTTTTCAACCACTCGGGTTCTCCACAGAATATTAATGGAACTGAGAGTCGATTAACCAACTTGTGTTTTCAGCCTCGTCGTCGCAAGCATGAAGACGAATTTGTGAATGATAGCAGTGATCTGGGAGATTGGCGAGAGGAGAAAACGGAAAAACGTGTTAAAGTAAAAAAGACGAAACGAATGAGGGAAGCGAGGATACGTCGAGAAAACAAAAGGTTCTTTTTTGAGTGTTTGTGTGCTTGAATGTTCTGTGAGTTTTTCGACTAATTGCGTTGTAGTATGGATCATGCAGCAGTAGTCAAGATTTATTTAGCTTGTGAAAGATTATTGATTGTTTTGCCGCTTCTAGCTTTCATGAAAATTAGGAAGTCTGTTGATTCCTTGCTTATTCCAATGTGATTCTGTTTCATGCCATTTCCCGGGTCCATTATGCTCCGCATTCACTGCAATCGGTTATTAGTGAATTTTTAGTCATTCATCCTGTGTTTAGGAAATCGTAACTTTAAATTCGAAAGTGATTTGTATTTTTATATTGGCGACAACGGGGCGTATAGATTTGGGAGGGCACCAGTATAACTGAAATATCCATTAATCTGTATCAGCTTATGTTTCCAACGTCACTGGAGCAGTAACCTCAGTGATTTCCCAGTTATTTCGTCTTCCAACAACGAGGCAATTTTCATGGCTGGATTCTACAGGGTGATAAAGTCAAACGTTGATCTATTCGAAGTATACCTCTGTCTCATGTCTCCACCCTAGCCACCTGTCACCTGACTATGCGAAGTGTTGCGAGTCTCTCCTCTGGCATCCTGACTAGGTGCCCAAAAGGTGCAAAACGCGACAGATCTTTCTACAAGCGAAACACCTAACAGTCGATAGTATCCTGTTTTTGTTTGGTAATATCAATATAAAAAGTAGCTCCGCCTTAACCTTACGTTGCATCCATCTTCATCTTCTTCCATCGCCGCTTCTCCTTTCGGGTCGCGGAGGCAGACGCGTCAGACAGTGCTTCC